GCCGCATGGATCATGGACGTACGAGCGACATCCATGACCATGCCAATGCGGCGCTCAGCAATCCCATTTTGCTGCGGGGAGGCCGGAAGCGTGAACGTCTGGCGGATGCCCTCTAAACGACAGAAGGCTCTCAGAAGGTCGGAGGAAAACTCCCCGCCTCTGTCTGAGTGCAGACGCAAAACAGGAAGGTCGGAGCTGAAACTCTCACTAAGCTGGCGACGAGCACCGCGGATCCAGTCGATCAACACCTCAGTGACCTCACCCTTGCTGCGCAAGGGGAAGACTGTGGTGTAACGCGAGTAGTCGTCAACGACCAGCAGGAAGTAACGCTCGTGACCCTGTCCACGAACGCGGGCTGGGCCCCACACGTCCATGTGAAGAGTCTGCAGAGGGGCCTCAGTCGGAGGAAACGAGGAGGAGTGAGGAGCGGCGCGCTGCCGGCCCTCGACACAAGGAACACAGGTGGGGGCAGGCCCCGGAGGAAGGGGAGGGAGGGACCTGGGGAGGCCAGAGACAAGAGCACGGGAGGCCATACCTCGAAGACGAGGCAGGGAGGAGTGACCAAGGCAGTGGTGCCAGAGGAGAGTCTCGTGCGCCAGAGGACGACACGAGCAGGGGGCAGACGCAGGACTAGACCTGGACGCAGCAGCAAACACCTGACTGGACGCAGCTACCTGACCAGACGCAGGGACCGGAGGAGGCGCAGTAGTCAGTGTGTACAGACTCGACCCTGGCCGACGGGTGAACGTGGCCAGGTGGCGGCCCGTCCGAGAGCAAGTGCAGTGGGTCACACGCTGACCTCCAGGGGTGAACTGGTCAACCCACGCGTCCTGGAGGTCAGCTCCACTCACCAAGTTCGTAGAGAACGAGGGGAGGTGGAGTCCCGACAGCAAGCCCGACGGGGCCGCAGGACACGGTAGAACCGTGGAGGAGTGTGCAAGGACTGGTCCCCCGGAGGGGTCAGCAAGGGAGACTGCAACAGGCCGACGGAGCGGCGTGAGCGTGGTGCTGTCTCTAAAGAAAGAGCGCGAAGCACCAGAGTCAAGTGTGAAGGTGTGAAAGGACTCAGTAGGTGCAGTACCAGAGGGAGGAGACGTACCAGCACCTGGAGCAGCAGACACACTAGCACCTAGAGCAGCAGCCGCACTAGCACCTAGAGCAGCAGCGACAGTGCCCGGGTCGGGCGGGACACGCAGGTAACAGTCACCCTCAGTAATATCAGCAAGAGCATACATGGCAGCAAGGATAGCATCAAAATCTAGATCAAAGATAGGCACATTCTGCAGAAGCAGATCATGCCAACGAGGAAGATCAACAGCGTCAGGAAACTGGGTACGCCAAGCGTCAGTCAAGCGGCCAAAGCAGCGCTGCGTGGTGTGTGGGAGACCACACACCTCCCCACTACGAGTGCCGGTGCGAAGAACGTACGCGCAGGGACCTGCACCCCCAGACCTCCCACGGCCAGCGTACCACTCACGAAGCTGCTGAACAGACGGGGTCTCACGGGTGCGCAGCTGCTGCGGATGCTGGCTGCCACCAAGGCCTCCACGCTGCGTGGCCGCACCGCGACCAGCACCACCTCCTCCGCTACCTCCACCACCGCCGCCGCCGCCGCCACCTCCTCCACCACCGCCGCCACGGCCGCCACTGCCGCCACCTACGCCCCCACTCCCGGAACCACCCCCACCACCACCTCCACCTCCTCCACCTCCTCCACCGCTGCCTCCACCGCCCCCACCACCACCCCTGCTTCCCTTGCCCTTGCCAGTGCGGCGTCGCCCACTAGGGGCAGACGCAGCGCCGACCTCCTCAGTGCCAACGAGGTCGACAGCAGCAGCAGAGGCAACAGAGGGGAGAAGGGGGACAGGGGAACACCCCTCAAAGAAGGGGGTGCGACGGTCACCGCGAGAAGCACCAACAGCTAAGATACTCTTCTCAGCTGCAGCAAGGCGCTCCTCTAGCAAGTCGACGGTCAGCTCGGTGGGGCAAAGGGAGAGAAAGTGGTCCCTGACTAAAGAAAGAGAGTCAGGGAGGCGGGTGACTAGGTAGTAAAGGGTGATGTACATGGGGGGGGTTCTTGGCACAGAACTCAGTGGGAAGGGCAGCGCGGTAGCGGGCGTCACTAGTGCGAAGGTGAGCAACTAGGTCAGTGACAGTGGCAAAGGCAGCAAGGTCAGGGAAAAGGTACGGTAGCATGAGGCGGCTGAGGGCAGCAGTGGCAGGGGAGGAGTAGCGTGCAACTACAGCGTCGTACAGAGCCCTAGCACTCTTGTACTGACTAAAGTGCGCGCGCTCAGTAGACGGCAGGTGGTTGCGCACAGCAAGACGAGCAGCAGCATCGCGCGTGAGCCACTGCGAGCGAACAGTACTGTCAGCATCAGCAGTAGGGGCAGGAGAGGCGCCAGAAGTGAGATCAAACAGGGAGAGACCATCCTTGCTATCGCATTGTAGGAAAAGCTGCAGATCATCTAGCCAGACCTCAAAGTCAACAGCCCGACCCTCAGCATCAAAGGTAAGAACATTGAGACTAGCCATGACAGGAGAAGCAGCAGGCTAGCAGTAGCAGCAGTGGAACTCGGCTAAGCAGGCTACGTAGGGCGGCGCAGCTCGGCAGGGCGGTGTGGTTTGGCAGCGCGGCGCTCTTACCAGGGGAGAGGCTGGGGCAGGGCCGGGGTAGGGCCGGGGCGGTCCAGGAGCAGGGCCGGGGCAGTTCAGGAGCAGGGCCGGGGCAGGGCCGGGGCAGTTCAGGAGCAGGGCCGGGGCAGGGCCAGGGCAGAGCAGGGCCAGGGCCGGGGCAGTTCAGGGGCAGGGCCGGGGCAGGGCCGGGGCAGGGCCGGGGCAGAGCCGGGGCAGTTCAGGAGCAGGGCCGGGGCAGGGCCGGGGCAGTTCAGGAGCAGGGCCGGGGCAGGGCCAGGGCAGAGCCGGGCCAGGGCCGGGGCAGTTCAGGAGCAGGGCCGGGGCAGGGCCGGGGCAGTTCAGGAGCAGGGCCGGGGCAGAGCCGGGCCCGGGCCGGGGCAGTTCAGGGGCAGGGCCGGGGCAGGGCCGGGGCAGAGCCGGGGCAGTTCAGGAGCAGGGCCGGGGCAGTGCAGAAGCAGGGTCGGGGTAGTTCAGGGGCAGGGCCGGGGCAGGGCCTGGGCAGAGCCGGGCCAGGGCCGGGGCAGTTCAGGGGCAGGTCAGGAGCAGGGCCGGGGCAGTGCAGAAGCAGGGCCGAACGGGGCCTATAACGGGGCCTGACGAGGCGTAGAACGGGGCCGTACGGGGCCTATAACGGGGCCGTGCGGGGCCGATAATGGGGCGTGACGGGGCCTATAACGGGGCCGTACGGGGCCTATAACGGGGCCTGACGGGGCCTATAACGGGGCCGAACGGGGCCGAGAACGGGGCCGAGAACGGGGCCTTGCGGGGCCTATAACGGGGCCTGACGGGCCTTACGGGGCCTGAAACGGGGCCAAATGGGGCCTGACGGGGCCGTACTGGGCCTCTAACGGGGCCTGACGGGGCCGTACGGGGCCTCTAACGGTGCCTGTCGGGGCCTAACGGGGCCTAAAACGGGGCCGAACGGGGCCTGACGGGGCCTTACGGGGCCTTACGGGGCTAACGGGGCCTTACGGGGCCGTAATCCGCGCCCTAAACGGGGCCAAATGGGGCCTGACGGGGCCGTACGGGGCCTCTAACGGGGCCTGTTGGGGCCTAACGGGGCCGTAAACGGGGCCGAACGGGGCCTGACGGGGCCTTACGGGGCCTTACGGGGCATAACGGGGCCTTACGGGGCCTAAATCCGCCCCCTAAACGGGGCCGAAAGGGGCCTTACGGGGCCTAACGAGGCCTTAAGGGGCCTTACGGGGCGGGCGTAGGCTCGAAGGACGGGCGCAGGGGCCGTGACGGGCCTCGAAGGGAAAATGCGAAGCGCGCGTCGAGTAGGCAGTGACGAATTTCAGTGGTGGGCCCTTTTTAAAAAATTCTCGAAACTAGCTCTATACCATGTGAGAAGAATTTGACGAAAGAATGAATGAACTAGAAATGAGATGGGTACATATAGGAAACACATAAGTGTTGTACCCACTAAGAGCTACCCCACTACAGCCTAAATAGACCATAGCAGATATAAGTCTGACATTGTTTGCCCGCGCGCTCATTGGTCGCGCATTGGGGCGAAAATGGCCGCGCATATACTGTTGGTCGGGCCACGTTCGTGCCCGCCAACCACCCGAAATTTTCGGGTGGGGAATAATACGAATCACTACCGCGGGATGAGACTCGTGCGAACGAGGAATTTCGGGGATACAAACCCTGATAGGGTAATGTGCCGGAGAAAAAAAACCCCTCGAAAATGCCCTGGCATGGCCACTCGAGCAATTATCACTGAATTTGATGGCCACTCGAGCAATTCGGGGACATGTGGGCAAGAGCGAATCACCAAACAAGGCACTGGAGCAATTCTCTCTTAGCTGAAGCACACACAGCCTTTGGGAGGATGATGGGTGACGGACAGAGAGATACCGTAATACCGTACACGTGATTTCTACACTTCATGAGAAAACTTACGGTACATAAGATGGGATTTCTAACACACTGACACATTTGTCTCACCAGCAATTTAGGTACAACTACCAGACGCCAAGAACAGATTTGACCGCACCTGATTGAATCTCAATTGCCAAAAATGCAGCCAATTCTATTGCTTGACGCCTTACTACGTACTACTGTATGTATGCCTTGCTTCAACAAAACAAATCAGAGTTCTTTTAGCCAGTTTCTTTGTACATCACACTACAAGACATGACTTGGGCACGCCAAAATACTTCTCTAACTCATCCCGGGACTGCTTGTAATTGAAGACCCTACGCCATCTGTCATTGTGGAGCTTGTAGTGCAGCACCTGCAAGCATGCACAGCCAGGAAAGAAAACCACCAGTTACATATACCGTTATGAACTCACAACACAAGACGTTACTACGAAACAACGCAGACACAGCTTCATTCTAAGGTGCACTACACACCTCAATGAGTGTATCAATTGCATCGTCGTCTTTCAGCAAGCTGATGCCAAAAGCCCATGCCTCGTTGTGACCATACTCGTCCTGCTGCCTCTTGGCCTCCTGTGCGATCACTGAGTGGTACGACAGCCGCTGCCACACCTTCTGCACTGTACCTTGCAGTGCACTCCCATGTTCCGCAGTGATAGCCTGTTGACACAAGCATAGTGCGCATGTTTGGAGAAGGAGAACACTCTCAGACATGCTCACAGGATATTTATAGAACAATGTCCTACACATTCACAAATTGCAAAAAGGCAGGGGAATGGGTAGTGAGGGAAGGGAGGGTGAGGGGAGGAGAGATAAAAGCCAAGAGCCAAGGGAATGACATGGTAGTCCAAAAATGCAATCAGCAGCACCTTAAGCTTGGTGAGCATGTTGGGAATGTCCCTCTCCTCTATGCGCACTGAGAATGAAGCATAGTCCAAGGCGTTCTCAAATGGCAGGTGGATGCCGTCCTGTTGTGCATTGCACACACACATACATACATGCACGGCCACCACTTGCCATTCCCCCACCCATGAAAACCAATCACCATCCCCATGAACACACATTCAATAGGCATAAGTATGATTACTGGAATTATTGAATGGAATTAAAGAGAGACAGGCGGCAACTGATCAATACAGAAAGGGAAGAAAGAAGGTAAGGGGGCAGAGGAGGGATGATGACAGGGATGCACCTGAATGATGACAGGGATACACCTGAATGATGACAGGGATGCACCTGAATGATGACAGGGATGCACCTGAATGATGACAGGGATGCCCCTGAATGATGACAGGGATGCATTTATACCTCATCGCCTCTTCCATGTCAGCATTAAAGCCATTGCTGAAAAAAACAAAAGTTGTGAGGTGCCTCAAAACTCGTCTCATATCACGCAGATTCACCTGAATGATGACTGGGATGCACCCATGCTTCATCGCCTCCTCCATGTCAGCATTGAAGCCATTGCTGGGGAAGACCCCGCAGAACCGGGCGTTGCCCAGCTGGGCGCTGTGCCCCTTGCCCCTCTCATACGTTACAATCACCCCCTCCTCCTGCTGCGACCCCAGCTGCCCCTTGTTGTTCGGCACCGAGGCAAACTCCCGCGCCACGGCCTGCCGAATGCCGAAGCTGAACCTGCAGGCAGGAAAAGGGAAGGAAACGTGGAGAAGGGGAAGGAAATGTGAGAAATTTTAAAAGAACCGGGAAAAGAAAGTAGATGAAGGAATTTACAAACCTGCTGTGCTTTGATTGCTTACCCTATTACCACCTACCAATTTCTCCCTGGCCGTTCGATTAGAACAAATTCAACGGCTTAGATTGATTGCACATGCGTGCCGTGAACGTACCTGCTATCTGGGGAGCCACCCTTGTACTCAGAGCCCAGGTCACCAGCGAAATAGAAGAGGTGCTCCCTCTCCTCAAATGACCTGCTCTTTGTAACAAGGGGTAAGCGCGGGGCGGATCGGATCGAGAGGAGAATTTAGAGAAAGAAGTGGCATCTGCTCCGCACAGGTTCAACTGAGCCAGGGAAGTGCCTACCTGAGCCAGTACTGTTCATGCCTACCTGAGCCAGTACTGTTCATGCCTACCTGAGCCAGTACTGTTCATGCCTACCTGAGCCAGTACTGTTCATGTAGGTGCTTCACATTGGGCGGCAGCCAGGCTGGCAGCACGATATCCTTGGCAGCGGAGAAGCACAGGTGGCCGCCCCTCAGCGTGAGGGGTATGTCGTCCCAGCGCTGCTGTGGTGCTGCCTTGACTGAGTGAGAGTGCGCTGCCATGCTGTTCCCCCAGCTCGTGAGCATGCTGCCGTGCCAGATGGCTTGAGGGGCTAGACACGCGCCCTCGTCTGTGCCCATGGGCTGATATGAGAAGGGGTGGAAGGGGGCAGTTGTGGGTCAGCCACCACAAGCGTCATACACTATAGGGAACAGGGAGTGTGACATACAATGACATTCACATGGCACCTTACTGCCACTGTACAGCCGAGCACCCTGTAAGGAAGCAGCAGCATGCAAGAGAGAGCGGCTTACCCAAAGATGGTCACGGCCCCTGCTGCGGTTCCAATGGGGGTACGCATGCACGATGTGGCGGTGCACTGCCGAGTACATCTCTGCCACGTGCCACGCCCAGTTGCCCTGCACATGCGGCTGGCATCGAGGGAGGCGCGTGGGGAAAATATGAGGAGAGAGTGCCGAGTAGGGCGAGGTGTGGGAAAGTCGTGAGGAGGGCGGAGTGTTCATGAGGAAACAGAAACTGCATGAACTCAGCATCTCAGACTCAGAACACAGAGAGGTGTACAGAAAACCATACCACGAGCTAAGTTCTGAGAGGTGGAGCTGTACTGAGAGAAGTGCAGGAGGTGCAGGAGGTGCAGGAGGTGCAGGAGGTGCAGGAGGTGCAGGAGGTGCAGGAGGTGCAGGAGGTGCTGGAGGTGCAGGAGGTGCAGGAGGTGCAGGAGGTGCTGGAGGTGCTGGAGAGAGGCCTACCAGGAGCTGGATGCCAGAAGCATCGCCGCCATTGGTGAGTCGCAGCCAGAGGCAGGAGGCGTAGACAGGCACAAAGAAGAAATCCGCCTCCTCCGCATTAGTCGTGCGGTGCTTGCTCGCCAGCAGCGCCTCGTGCAGGGCGATCTGGGAGAGGCAGGGATGGAGACGGGCGGGCGGGGGGTTCAGGGACGGGCACCAGAGACGAGGGTTGGACAAGAGAGGAAAAGAGGAAAGGTGCTTGCTGGCCAGCAAGGCCTTGTGCAGAGAGAGTGGAAAGCTCAATCATCCCATCACCTCCATCCCCTCACCTCCATCCCCTCACCTCCATCCCCTCACCTCCATCCCCTCACCTCCATCCCCTCACCTCCATGCCGTGGATATGGTCGGGCAGGAAGGCGGTGCGGTTGAGGCGGCCATACAGTTGAGGCACACACTCCTCCGTGTCATGAGTGTAATCACCCTACTTACCTCCATGCTATGAGTGTAATCACCCAACTCACCTCCATGCTATGAGTGTGATCACCCTACTTACCTCCATGCTATGAGTGTAATCACCCTACTTACCTCCATGCTATGAGTGTGATCACCCTACTTACCTCCATGCTATGAGTGTAATCACCCTACTTACCTCCATGCCATGGATATGATCCGGCAGGAAGGCGGTGCGGTTGAGGCGGTCATACAGTCGCGGCACGCACTCCTTCTTGCCGCGCCGGCCCTGCAGCAAGTCGCTGTTGAACTGCGGCGGTAGATCGTACATGTAGACCAACGGCCGCCGCTTCACCACCTCGTTCCGCCCCCCCACTGCTGCCGCTCCTGCCTGACCACCACCAGCAGCGCCACCACCACCACCACCACCACCACCAGCAGCGCCACCACCACCACCACCACCACCACCACCACCTCTACCAGCAGCAGTGCCTGCAGCACCCTCACCGCCATATTCCCCTCCCTCGGTTTCTTCGTCTGCCTCCCCATCCCCGTCCTCTTCGTCCTGTCTCCCTCTAAGCCACCGGCGTTCGTTAAAACCACCCCGGCTACGGTCAACAGCAGGTGCTTCCCGCTCCTCATAATCACCCTTATCACCAGAAATACCCATCAGGTCATCACCCAAGGCACCTCGCCGATCTGTCTGCCTACCCAAAGAATCGCCCCGTTCGTCCAGCCCAAGCAGTCTCCTCCTCCTCCTGCGCCTCCTCCAACCCAGCTCCTCATCTTCCCCTCCCCCTCTCTCCCCTCCCCTAACCCCATTCCCCCCATACACCCTTCCACCCCCTCCGTTCTCCTCCCCTGCCTCCCCTTCTCCCTCCTCCCCTCCCATCTCTGCCTCTAACGCAGCCTCCTCTTCCTCCTCCGTTGGTCCATGATTCTTCCCTCCCCCACCCAAACCCCCTCCTCCCTTTCTTGCTTGGGGTTGTGCAGCGATGCCAGGCTCGATGGAGGTCCGGGAGCCAGAGCCGCTGCCGAACCTCTTGGCCTGGTCGAAGGGCTGCAGCCAGGCTGGGAGTTGAGGGTCGGCGAAGGTGGCTTGGGAGGGCACGCTGCAATCGACGCTGAACCAGCCCTCGTTGCACTGGGCGGGGGAGGGAGGTGGGGAATGGGGGAATGGGGGAGCAGGGAGATGGGTGGGGTGGGGAACGACGCTTTTTGCGGCGCCTATAAAATCACCGCAATCGACGGTGAACCAACCCTCGTTGCACTGCGTGCATGGGGGGAGGGGTGAGAGGGAGAGGTTGAGGGCGAGGGGGAAAGGGAAGGGGCAAGGGAGTTGGAGGAAGGGAGGGTGCATAAGGTAGTGGTTTTCAGGTCAACTGGCGATTGATAACACACCGCATTGCACTGCACTGCACTGCACTGCATGGCATGGCACCTGGTCGCACCCACCTGGCAGTGTCCTCGTATGCATGTGCCGTGGCCCGAGCATTGATTCACACAGAAGGCAGCCACAGGCACATGGCAGAATGCACACACAACCCCGTCATAGTTACACGTGCACCGCGCCCGCGGCTCTGCCCGCCCATCGCCACGCTGTCGCCGACTCCCCCCATGTTCACCCCCACCGCCTCCAAACACACACGCACCTGTTGCAGTGCCCGCAGAGACCTGGCAATAGCCACACGCACCTGGCAGTGTCCTCGTATGCATGTGCCGTGCCCCGAGCCGAGCACATGTGAAAATTGTAAACTGAATGATTAGCTTCATTAGAGAGTAGCAAAAGCATACATAGGTTTGGAAGAGAAGGTTGGAAGGGAAAAGGAGGGAGGTGGGATTGGGGGAGTGGGCCAACCTATGGCCCATTGGGTTGGGTTGACCACACTTGGGGAAGTGGGCTTAACCTATGGCCCAATGGGTTGGGTTGGCCTCACTTTGTGAAGTGGGGTACCCTATGGCCCATAGGGTTGCATTTGGGGGCTCCACCACAATTGGGTTGGATTGGCACCCCAAAATGCAAGACTACACCCAAAGTTGGGTGTAGTCCCAACCCAACTGTACACCACAATTGGTGTACAGTCACAAGTGTTAGCATGCTAGAACATAGGAATTCTAACAGCACAGGTTAACACAGAAAGACCAATGGATCCCCACAGCCGAGCACAGGTTAACACAGAAAGACCAATGGATCCCCACAGCCGAGCACAGGTTAACACAGAAAGACCAATGGATCCCCACAGCCGAGCACAGGTTAACACAGAAAGACCAATGGATCCCCACGAGTTGAGTCGCCACAGGTTAACACAGAACGCCGCCACAGGCACGTGGCAGAAGGCGCCCACAGCCCTAGGCTGGCTAAGACGCCAGAATGAACGGCAGGGTGTTTGCGCCGGCACAAACTCAGCTGGCGCACCACGTTCAATAGTCACACGTGCAGCGTGCCCTGGGCTCCGCCCCGCCCATCGCAACCCCCAAAGGCACACACACCTGTTGTGGTCCCCGCACACACCTGTTGTGGTCCCCGCACACACCTGGCAGTGCCCGCGTATGCATGTGCCGTGCCCCGAGCACTGGTTGACACAGAAAGCCGCCACAGGCACGTGACAGAAGGCGCCCACAGCCCCGTCATAGTCACACGTGCAGCGCGCCCTGGGCTCCGCCCCTCCCATCGCCATGCTGCCGCCCATGCCCACGCCCACCGCCTCTGGGCGCGTGTTGCACCAGCCGGGGTAGTGCGTGGTGTTGGCGTACAGGGCTTCCGTGTCCTTTCTGGTCCTGTCCACCGCTGCTGCTCTGAGGGTTGGGGGCGGAGCGTACATGGAGGGGGAGGACGGTACATGGGGTGCAGATGCAAGCGAGCGACTCACAGCTCATGCAATCACAGCTCCACTCACAACAGCTCGTGCAATCACAGCTCCACTCACACCAGCTCGTGCAATCACAGCTCCACTCACAACAGCTCGTGCAATCACAGCTCCACTCACAACAGCTCGTGCAATCACAGCTCCACTCACAACAGCTCGTGCAATCACAGCTCCACTCACAACAGCTCGTGCAATCACAGCTCCACTCACAACAGCTCGTGCAATCACAGCTCCACTCACAACAGCTCGTGCAATCACAGCTCCACTCACAACAGCTCGTGCAATCACAGCTCCACTCACAACAGCTCGTGCAATCACAGCTCCACTCACAACAGCTCGTGCAATCACAGCTCCACTCACAACAGCTCGTGCAATCACAGCTCCACTCACAACAGCTCGTGCAATCACAGCTCCACTCACAACAGCTCGTGCAATCACAGCTCCACTCACAACAGCTCGTGCAATCACAGCTCCACTCACAACAGCTCGTGCAATCACAGCTCCACTCACAACAGCTCGTGCAATCACAGCTCCACTCACACCAGCTCGTGCAATCACAGCTCCACTCACAACAGCTCGTGCAATCACAGCTCCACTCACAACAGCTCGTGCAATCACAGCTCCACTCACACCAGCTCGTGCAATCACAGCTCCACTCACAACAGCTCGTGCAATCACAGCTCCACTCACAACAGCTCGTGCAATCACAGCTCCACTCACAACAGCTCGTGCAATCACAGCTCCACTCACAACAGCTCGTGCAATCACAGCTCCACTCACAACAGCTCGTGCAATCACAGCTCCACTCACACCAGCTCGTGCAATCACAGCTCCACTCACAACAGCTCGTGCAATCACAGCTCCACTCACAACAGCTCGTGCAATCACAGCTCCACTCACACCAGCTCGTGCAATCACAGCTCCACTCACAACAGCTCGTGCAATCACAGCTCCACTCACAACAGCTCGTGCAATCACAGCTCCACTCACAACAGCTCGTGCAATCACAGCTCCACTCACAACAGCTCGTGCAATCACAGCTCCACTCACAACAGCTCGTGCAATCACAGCTCCACTCACAACAGCTCGTGCAATCACAGCTCCACTCACACAGCTGCAATCACAGCTCCACTCACAACAGCTCGCAATCACAGCTCCACTCACAACAGCTCGTGCAATCACAGCTCCACTCATACCACAGCTCGTGCAATCACAGCTCCACTCACAACAGCTCGTGCAATCACAGCTCCACTCACAACAGCTCGTGCAATCACAGCTCCACTCACACCAGCTCGTGCAATCACAGCTCCACTCACAACAGCTCGTGCAATCACAGCTCCACTCACAACAGCTCGTGCAATCACAGCTCCACTCACAACAGCTCGTGCAATCACAGCTCCACTCACAACAGCTCGTGCAATCACAGCTCCACTCACAACAGCTCGTGCAATCACAGCTCCACTCACAACAGCTCGTGCAATCACAGCTCCACTCACAACAGCTCGTGCAATCACAGCTCCACTCACAACAGCTCGTGCAATCACAGCTCCACTCACAACAGCTCGTGCAATCACAGCTCCACTCACAACAGCTCGTGCAATCACAGCTCCACTCACAACAGCTCGTGCAATCACAGCTCCACTCACAACAGCTCGTGCAATCACAGCTCCACTCACACCAGCTCGTGCAATCACAGCTCCACTCACACCAGCTCGTGCAATCACAGCTCCACTCACAACAGCTCGTGCAATCACAGCTCCACTCACAACAGCTCGTGCAATCACAGCTCCACTCACAACAGCTCGTGCAATCACAGCTCCACTCACAACAGCTCGTGCAATCACAGCTCCACTCACAACAGCTCGTGCAATCACAGCTCCACTCACAACAGCTCGTGCAATCACAGCTCCACTCACAACAGCTCGTGCAATCACAGATCCACTCACAACAGCTCGTGCAATCACAGCTCCACTCACAACAGCTCGTGCAATCACAGCTCCACTCACAACAGCTCGTGCAATCACAGCTCCACTCACAACAGCTCGTGCAATCACAGCTCCACTCACAACAGCTCGTGCAATCACAGCTCCACTCACAACAGCTCGTGCAATCACAGCTCCACTCACAACAGCTCGTGCAATCACAGCTCCACTCACACCAGCTCGTGCAATCACTGCTCCACTCACAACAGCTCGTGCAATCACAGCTCCACTCACAACAGCTCGTGCAATCACAGCTCCACTCACACCAGCTCGTGCAATCACAGCTCCACTCACAACAGCTCGTGCAATCACAGCTCCACTCACAACAGCTCGTGCAATCACAGCTCCACTCACAACAGCTCGTGCAATCACAGCTCCACTCACAACAGCTCGTGCAATCACAGCTCCACTCACAACAGCTCGTGCAATCACAGCTCCACTCACAACAGCTCGTGCAATCACAGCTCCACTCACAACAGCTCGTGCAATCACAGCTCCACTCACAACAGCTCGTGCAATCACAGCTCCACTCTCACCAGCTCGTGCAATCACAGCTCCACTCACACCAGCTCGTGCAATCACAGCTCCACTCACAACAGCTCGTGCAATCACAGCTCCACTCACACCAGCTCGTGCAATCACAGCTCCACTCACAACAGCTCCTGCAATCACAGCTCCACTCACAACAGCTCGTGCAATCACAGCTCCACTCACAATAGCTCGTGCAATCACAGCTCCACTCACAACAGCTCGTGCAATCACAGCTCCACTCACAACAGCTCGTGCAATCACAGCTCCACTCACAACAGCTCGTGCAATCACAGCTCCACTCACAACAGCTCGTGCAATCACAGCTCCACTCACAACAGCTCGTGCAATCACAGCTCCACTCACAACAGCTCGTGCAATCACAGCTCCACTCACAACAGCTCGTGCAATCACAGCTCCACTCACAACAGCTCGTGCAATCACAGCTCCACTCACAACAGCTCGTGCAATCACAGCTCCAATCACACCAGCTCGTGCAATCACTGCTCCACTCACAACAGCTCGTGCAATCACAGCTCCACTCACAACAGCTCGTGCAATCACAGCTCCACTCACACCAGCTCGTGCAATCACAGCTCCACTCACAACAGCTCGTGCAATCACAGCTCCACTCACAACAGCTCGTGCAATCACAGCTCCACTCACAACAGCTCGTGCAATCACAGCTCCACTCACAACAGCTCGTGCAATCACAGCTCCACTCACAACAGCTCGTGCAATCACAGCTCCACTCACAACAGCTCGTGCAATCACAGCTCCACTCACAACAGCTCGTGCAATCACAGCTCCACTCACACAGCTCGTGCAATCACAGCTCCACTCACAACAGCTCGTGCAATCACAGCTCCACTCACAACAGCTCGTGCAATCACAGCTCCACTCACAACAGCTCGTGCAATCACAGCTCCACTCACAACAGCTCGTGCAATCACAGCTCCACTCACAACAGCTCGTGCAATCACAGCTCCACTCACAACAGCTCGTGCAATCACAGCTCCACTCACAACAGCTCGTGCAATCACAGCTCCACTCACAACAGCTCGTGCAATCACAGCTCCACTCACAACAGCTCGTGCAATCACAGCTCCACTCACAACAGCTCGTGCAATCACAGCTCCACTCACAACAGCTCGTGCAATCACAGCTCCACTCACAACAGCTCGTGCAATCACAGCTCCACTCACAACAGCTCGTGCAATCACAGCTCCACTCACAACAGCTCGTGCAATCACAGCTCCACTCACAACAGCTCGTGCAATCACAGCTCCACTCACAACAGCTCGTGCAATCACAGCTCCACTCACAACAGCTCGTGCAATCACAGCTCCACTCACAACAGCTCGTGCAATCACAGCTCCACTCACAACAGCTCGTGCAATCACAGCTCCACTCACAACAGCTCGTGCAATCACAGCTCCACTCACAACAGCTCGTGCAATCACAGCTCCACTCACAACAGCTCGTGCAATCACAGCTCCACTCACAACAGCTCGTGCAATCACAGCTCCACTCACAACAGCTCGTGCAATCACAGCTCCACTCACAACAGCTCGTGCAATCACAGCTCCACTCACAACAGCTCGTGCAATCACAGCTCCACTCACAACAGCTCGTGCAATCACAGCTCCACTCACAACAGCTCGTGCAATCACAGCTCCACTCACAACAGCTCGTGCAATCACAGCTCCACTCACAACAGCTCGTGCAATCACAGCTCCACTCACAACAGCTCGTGCAATCACAGCTCCACTCACAACAGCTCGTGCAATCACAGCTCCACTCACAACAGCTCGTGCAATCACAGCTCCACTCACAACAGCTCGTGCAATCACAGCTCCACTCACAACAGCTCGTGCAATCACAGCTCCACTCACAACAGCTCGTGCAATCACAGCTCCACTCACAACAGCTCGTGCAATCACAGCTCCACTCACAACAGCTCGTGCAATCACAGCTCCACTCACAACAGCTCGTGCAATCACAGCTCCACTCACAACAGCTCGTGCAATCACAGCTCCACTCACAACAGCTCGTGCAATCACAGCTCCACTCACAACAGCTCGTGCAATCACAGCTCCACTCACAACAGCTCGTGCAATCACAGCTCCACTCACAACAGCTCGTGCAATCACAGCTCCACTCACAACAGCTCGTGCAATCACAGCTCCACTCACAACAGCTCGTGCAATCACAGCTCCACTCACAACAGCTCGTGCAATCACAGCTCCACTCACAACAGCTCGTGCAATCACAGCTCCACTCACAACAGCTCGTGCAATCACAGCTCCACTCACAACAGCTCGTGCAATCACAGCTCCACTCACAACAGCTCGTGCAATCACAGCTCCACTCACAACAGCTCGTGCAATCACAGCTCCACTCACAACAGCTCGTGCAA